CGTTCCAGATCCAAGGATTGTTCTTGATTTTCTTTAGACTTTTTAATACAGAGTGTCGTCTCAATTTGGAGGAATTCAATGGTATCTTTGGATTTCAAACCATAGGGGAAAAAAACTCAAGATCATTTAATCCATACATGTTTTGGGGATTGTAACAGGTCATACACAATGGGAGGCTGGTAAATACAATTCATCTACATTTCGTCACTCTACCATTAGAATTATACATAAGTTTATTGCATCTACTGAAGCGTACGATACATCGTAAGCTCTTTCCAAAGAATTTTCAAACGAGTATAATATTGTGATACAGTGGAATCACCTTGCTTGCAGTTTTGAAGCTCCTCTTGTAGATTAGCAATGCGCAATTTGTCACCATGAGAGAAACACTCAAGAAGATCGCACCAAATGTCAGCAGCCGTGTCCATCCACATAACCGATTGTTTGATGGAAGGTGTCATGGATCGTGTGAGCCACGACATCACCATCTTGTTGCATCGTTTCCAAGCGTCATGTAGAGGATCGGTGGAAGGAGGATAAGCAAGAGTGCCAAGAACGAATTTCTCTTTGTTCTTTGTCTCGAGAGCCACAATCATGTCATGTTTCCATTGTTGATAGTTGTTATCAGCGAGCAAAGGAGTGACGAGAACGAGTGCAGGGTTTTCTCCTGGATGTAGAAAAAGGGGATTTGCTGGATTTACGAGGTGATCAGAAGGGTTGTCAGATTTTTCCATGAGAAAACTGTGAGGGAGGAAAAAAAAATGGGTTCCAAAAGAGAAGCAAGCTTCAGAGGACACAATGGCGGAAGCAGAAGTTTACCGATGATACCATGTGAGTGCTTGTAATCCTACTCGAGAAAAATGATAAAGAAAGAATTTGTAAAAAGAGAGAAGAAGAGAAAGATCAATAGAAAACTTCAAGAATATGATTTCATGTGTGCACCGAAACACTTTAGAGTTGGGTTATATATACAGTACAAATGACAAACTTTATCTAAGGGATAAAAACAGAAAATAACAACTAATTTTATATCTAACAGTAACTGAATATAGCTAAAAACAAGAAACAGCTATAACTAGATAAGTATAAAATGAAGATATTATCATTCTATTTCTAATACACCTAGCCACCTCGCGTAAGATATGAACAAACACATTTTGATATTTAGAACTTCATAACTATATATTTTATGTACAGAAAAAATATTAACTATATTATATTCCAATTAACTTGATCAAGGTGCCTTTAACTGAATTGTAAATAAACACAAATCATATTGTACACAAGTAGACTTGGATCGACCTAACTTTCCTGCGATACAAAGAATCTAACCAATGATTTGAAACCCCTGCAGCAAACTTCAGAGAATGTGTGGAAACGGGTCTTAAAAGATAAAATAATTATCGGTAGGTAGAACTTTTGTTGACGAAGCTTCTTTGTCTATTCTTAATAAGATGCCGTAATTTTAACTTTGGACACTGTTAGAGTAATAATACTCCTGCAATATTATAACTTGAATGTCGGACGTGACGATGACCATAAACTTACTATGAGTGATAGATGCAAAAGACAAGCATACCAATATCATTAAATTGAACCATTACTTTGTTTTCTTTGGCCAAAACCGATGCCTTAATTGGTGAATCATAAAATAAACCTCCGTCTTCAATAACATTCCAACTTGTCATATATATAATCTAATTGTTAAATACAGTAATGTCGTCTCTAAAATGTCACATAGAGTAATGAAGTTGGGATACGCATAACACAAATTGTAAGTTGTGACAATCAAAATACCATTCACTTACTAAAAATCTCAGGTTTTATTCACACTTCGAACACATTTACATCCAGTTTTGTTGGATACTAGTTGTATGAGGAGAAATTGAAGGTAAAGTAAAATTTATATAGACTTCGATTATTCTAATTTGATGACAAAGAAGACTATACTAGTAAAAAGTTTGAAAACTATTGTTAAGGTGTTATCAATTATGTTTAAAGGGAGCTTTGTTGATAAAATCTCCATAATTATTATAGTTCGAACTGATTCAAAATACTTGTATAAGAAGTTCCCTTGCCTTTTTTTCTAAGCATTTTTAACAATAAATATTAAATAAAAGGCGAAATTTAATTTCTATGGCGTCCAAAATCCAAGTAAGAAAATAGTTGTATGTAATAATTAGTATGTCTTAGATAAATCCTAACATCAATAGGTATTCAAAATTAATTAATTAATACGTCATAGTTCAGCTTAAAGTCAAATGCTAGTGATAAAGGATCATACATTTTTTCCTTAAACTGAACTTTGTTAGTTGCATGTTCAAGAAGACAAAGCAATGATATTATTATAAACATTACTGTCCAAGTTGACCATAAATGTTGTACACCCCATCTCCTGCAATGAACTGAGGCTATATTTCAGTCACCATCATTCTTTCGGCTGTGTCTCTTTTGTGATGTTTTCCCATCCATGGTCCCATTTTCCGCTTCAGTGGGATTCATGAAGTACTACAGCTAACTAAGTCTATAACTATATTTATATCAAATTGAAATAGTAATACCAATACAAAGACAAGATTCTACTACTATACGATATAATATCTGCATTCTTGCGTCATTTTATTTCAGTGATCTCGCGATCAAAGAAAAGCCAAAGTCCTTTCACGCAAAAATGGAAGCACATTATTGAGTTTCTTTTCTTGTTCTGTCAACAATTTTGCAATTATTAAGAAAACATGAAGAAAAAGTCTATCTCTACTTCATTTGCCGCATTGAAACAGACAAGACACAGCTCCTATCCTCAAACAAAAGATAACGTGACTCTTTTTTGTTTTCTTTTTTCTTCTTGTTTTTGGAGGTTTCTATGTATAAAAATAATGATATTTAGACGCTAAATATTTTATATTTTTCTATTTCTAATTTATTATATACCTATTATATATTTTTTTTCTCTTTTTAAGAGTAGATTAGCTTATGGAGATGTCAAGAAAATTATTTTTCATATATAAACTACAGAATTCAATTTCTTGGAATATTTACGGAGTTTATTATGGATCAAGGATTTCCCGAAATTACGGTGGCTAAAAGTATTTTCAGAAAACCAATAATTAATGATATTTAAACAATAAAAAGAAAACTATCACAAACTTACAAAAATGTTATCACAATATCAATTTATTTATTTGTTTCTATGTGCTCAGCTTCTTTCATCATGCCAACGGGCCACAGTGGACATTAATTGGATAATGGATCTTGTAGCAGCAGTTTCACGCTTTGAGCGGAACATGGACATTGGACACAGCGTCAGTATGTACTTGAAATTTTCCGCCAACAGCAATGACTGTAACAGTGACAAACTTCAAAACAAGTATAATAACCCATCAAAACAAATAAATCAATGGTATTTTAATGTATTTATGTAATCTTTTTAAATTATAAATATATCATAATTTTACTTTTAAACTTATTTTAATCATCTTTTGAATAAAATATAACAAAATAAGTAATAAAATCTATCAAAACAATTATTTTTTATTTAATACAATAAATTTAAGTTTTTAAATTGATGACACAAATTCTTGTACGAAAATTTTATTGAATATCTTAGTGTGTGTTTGCTTTAGCTTTTAGACGTGAAAATTCACGTTTATGGGAAGCAAAAAATTGTAACTTCCACGTAAATTGCCTTATAAACATGGAGAGAGAATGAAAAATTACGTTTCTAAATCTAAACCAAACACGCTATTAATGTGAAAGGAATTGGAACTGCTTCGTTCACATGTCAACATTTTGTGCTCGGCACCTGCCCATTCGGACTTAGTAGTGTCATTTATAATTGCAGAATCAGAAATATACATTTTTTATATTACTAAATTTTATGGTAATGATTTTTTACAAAAAAATAAAAATTGAATTGAATATATCAAGCACATGAATTAACTTGTACAAATTTGTTCCAACTTAATTAATTATTACAGATTTAAATTGTAGACATGTAATTGATTTAAATATATACAAGGGAGAGAACTTTACTACATATAATACTCCTGTTACACTTGAATAAATGTAATTAAATCATTTTACATTAGTTGTCTTTTAAAAAAATGGTGGGATTGGATACATTGAATTAAAAAATGCAGAGCATTTTCCATGTTTCTGTTTCTTCTGCTGCTAATTCAATATTATTTCCTCACCCCTTGTGAGTTTTGGTTACTATAGAAATAGCTTTTTGAAAACCACAATAATGTTTCTGACTACAGTGTCCCGTGTCCCCCATGAATAAAGATGTGTGTACGTATTAAATATTTTGAACATAAAACCTGGACAATGGTAAACTTTATTCAGGTTAGCTACTTAGCTAGACAAATGTAGCCGTTCATATTCCAACCTCGACCCAGTCCAATTAAATATGTAAAGAAATTTTTTATAATTAAATATATCTTTGACATGTGTAACTTGCATTGATTTTTAATTGTTATAAATATCATATTAACTAATATTAAAGCTTATATATAATATATAAAAAAAATAATTCTCATTTTAAATATTGGTGATATAAGGTTAAATTAGGTTGAAACTTACATTTTAAAAATTATATCAAAATTAATATCAATAATTATTTTTGAGCTTATTAAATTATTTGTTATTAAGTTGATATTGAAACACATGATTTTTTTAAAAAAATTTCACACTCGATATGTAAATTATTCACGTGAGAGAAGCATTAGAAATCCAAAATTAACTAATAATATATATATATATATATATATATATATAAGTAAGTCTGATGTTATAAAGTGATTTATAAAGATTTATGTAAGGTGGTGTTAATATGATTGTAATATAAAGCTAATTAATTTTAGTGGTAAGTCCATTTTGTGTAGTTGGTTGGGTCCAGAATTAGATGAGCCCCATGAATCACGTAAGGCAACAGGCCCCACACTATCACCTCCCTGGATCGCTATACAGGTATAGTATATTATTCCATAAATTAACATGCCAGGGAAAAGTAGATATGAGCGGCTTCTATGTCAAAGTTCTTGTAGTAGAAGCCTAGTTGGAGTATTTAAGATGTTTCATTTCTAATTTCTTCACAAAGCTAAAGCATTGCACATTTTCCTTTTCCCGCGCTCTAAAAACACTCCTATTTCCCCATTACTTCCATAATTTATGTTACATATAAATATCCTTGGTTTATGGTTGAAAGAACAAAAGGTGTGCGATGGAAACCATGAAAGCAAAATCAGCACTGAACAACAGGAGCAAGAAACTGGCCAAGACATTCCAGAAGGTCCGAAGTGCAACCAACAATGGGATCTGCATGCTCAACTCCCACCTCAAAGTGAAGGAGGATCTCTTCACCCACAGCAAGCCCAAAAACAGACCCGTCATGGAGGCTGATCAGGCTCTCATAGCAAGGCTCTTCGCCGGAGTCACCACCATAAAAGCCGCATACGCCGACCTCCAAATGGCCCAACACCCTTACAACAACGACTCCATCCAGGCCGCCGATCAAGCCGTCGTGGACGAGCTCCGAGCCATATCGGACCTCAAGCGAAAGTTCTTCAAAAAAGACCTCCACCTTTCACCCCAAGTCACCATCATGCTCGCCGAGATTCAAGAACAACAGAGCCTCATGAAGACCTACCAAATCACCATCAAGAGGCTCCAAGCCGACCTTGACGCAAAGGACGCTACCATCTCCAACTTGAAAAAACATCTAAACGACTGCGTTTCCTTCAACAAAACACTCCACAAGAAGCTCAACTCCAGCGGCGCCTTGTCACTCTTGGATACCCTCACGCTTTCCGCCCTCAGCCCAACCCACTTCCTTCACTTCCTCCACCACACTCTCCGTTCCGTCAGAACCTTCTCCAACCTCATCATCACGGAGATGGAGTCTGCTCATTGGGATCTCGAAGCCGCCGTCAAGTTCATCCACCCCAACGCGCTCTTCGCCAATCCCACTCACAAACCCTTCGCCTTTGAATCCTTTCTCTGCATAACCATGTTCGAATCCTTCGCCCTCCACGACCCACACATCAAACACTCGCAAGCCCAAAACTTTGACAACTTCAAAAGGCTCAAGTCTCTCAACCCCAAACAGTGCTTGACCCAAGACCCAAACTCCTCCTTCTCCAAGTTCCTCAAATCCAAGTACCTCCAAGTGGTGCACGCCAAAATGGAGTGTTCCCTTTTCGGCAACTTGAACCAGAGGAAGCTCGTCAACTCTGGGGGGTACCCTGATTCCGCTTTCTTCGTCGCCTTCGCCGAGATGGCTAAGCGCGTCTGGACACTGCACTGCTTGGCGATGTCGTTTCGCCATGATGTTACCGTTTTTCAGGTTAAGAAGAACTCCAGGTTCTCTGAGGTCTACATGGAAAGTGTCACGGAAGAACCTCTTTCTGATTCCAATTCCGCCGAGCTTAGGGTGGGTTTCACGGTGGTTCCGGGTTTCAAAATAGGTAAGACGGTGATTCAGAGCCAGGTTTACCTCTCTCTCCTGGGTTCTCCGGCCAGTTCCTAATACGTATTAATTAATTACTGTATTATTATCCCATGTCATGCTAATATTATGAGTATAATACTCATAATGAGTTGTCAAGTATATGTATACCGTTACCGAGTGTTCATTTTACAATAATGCTTAAATAGAATAAGGAGTAAATGAATACTTGACAACTCATTTTCTGTATTATTACTTGAGGATGGATACCAAAGAACTATGTAATTAGGCAATTTTGAAGTTGTTATTGTAAATTTGATCTCAGAGTAGGGATCTGTTAGACACTCGGTATGGAATTTATAGTACTATACATCGGGTATTACACCTTATCAATTTCTGTGTTTTATTCCGTTATCAGCAGTATCAACTGTAAATTATCTTGTGGAATAAATGGAGGATGAGTCTCTTTTAGTTGCTTACTATTACTTGGTTTGATTTGCCAAGTAGAAGAGTAATGATTCCAAGCATAATCATTAGGTTGTTTTGACTGGAGTGTATGTTAAGTTTTACTTTAATAAGCATGCATAGACTTGAGTACTTAACCAAGTGCTGTCGTAGTATTCAACTATAAACGTTGTATAAAGTAAAGATTAGAGTTTGTGGTTATTTTAAGGAAAAGTTTTGATGATAAGGTTCCGCCGGTGTTTGTGGTATTATTCTGTAACAAAAACAATAAAAAATACGTGTCCAGTATAAAAATGAATTCACATTATGATGCTTACGAGAGAATAATACTATAAGCAATCAAGATATTCATTTAAATTTTTTCTGTTTCAATATGGATGGATGTGTTTGCCTGTGAGGATGTATATCTACATTCGAGTTGATTTAACAATATCTCACCGTTACTTGCTTAGGAAGTGGATTCATTTTAAGGAAACGTTTTCCTTAAAATATAATGGTGTTCAAATTATTGAACTCAGTATGTTTTATTATATACTAATAAGTTTGGTTTTCCATTTAGAATTTCAAAACATTGATTTAGACAAAAATCACACAAGAAACAAAATTGACTTAAAAGTGGTTTGCTATTTTGGAAAGAAGAAACCTAACACGCACTTAATGATTGATTTAGAATTAAAAATGTTGGATTGGTTAGAAAATGAGTCTAAGGTAAGCCTGCCTTGTGTGCATGATTGATGGGTCAGGGATGGGAGAGACAAGCAGATCAAGTACTTAAGTGTGAATGAGAATAGGGAGGCGCGTGGGATAAGTGTGGGTGAAAGGATGGCCAGAGTTAGAGCAGAGACAGGGTCATAGGCATTTTGGGCCCACATGTCAATTGGCCAACAGGGTTGCAATATGATCTTGATTTGAGAGAAGGAGAGTGGTGGGGTACGAGATAATCAGATTTCAAGGGCCCACTATAGAGAAACTTTGAGTGTCAGATTTGTTTCTTCTACACATTTTTGCCAAATATATCTCACTGCCGGTTGGAACAGTAATCGCTTCAAACTATATATGTACTTTTCACATTTGATAGCACATAACTAGGAATGATGGAATATGCTGCTTAATTGGCTAGTTAACCAAGCTCATTAATATGTGGTTAAGTTTCATTTTAGAGAATGCAATCATAGTTGAGTTATGGAGGATAAATTTTGTATACTAGCTGCATACTTAAAATTCAAGTTTGAGATACCAATTAGTTGAAACAACACTGTGCTGGCCCAATTGATTCACTCACTCAGTGGTTTGTGTCGTTAACCTTTAAACAAAGCATAATGAGCCTATGTGATGTATAAGTAGATCTTGGATATAGAGGATCGAGTTGCTCCTTTTCTAGATAAATAACAGTCCAAGAAAATATTATATGATAAAGGACACAAATATTATATAATCCAGACTTGGGCATAAGATAAATTTTAAAAATTGTACATCACAAGGCTATAAAATAAGAGTAAATAATAATTATACAATAATTAATATAAAATAAGAAAATAAACTACACGAGAGAATTCACGTTTAAAAATTAAATACAACTACCATTTTTAAGTGTCCATTGCAATGTAGATTACATGATTTGGGTGAAACACAACTATCAAGTATCCGTTGGAGATTTCTTATTTTTCTTTTTACTATGGTGCACGAGATAGTTGGACAACATGTTAAAACTAGATATTACTCATAAATAATAAAGCCTTTGTTTCCATACTCACTCACAATTGTGTCGCTCAATTAAGATATTTAAGGATGGATTTTAGCATTGGAAGTTGAATATATTATGTTAAAAAGGGAATATTCATTTTATATACGTATGTTGTTTTTATAGAAATTAATTATTATTTTTAATGATAGATACTTTATACTAATATCATGATTAAAAATATATATTACTATTATAATTGATATTTTTTATTTTTCAAATCCTTGCTAGCTCAGCAATTTTATAACTGGAGTTGAGATAAGATAGATCACCAAGTTAAAATAGGAAAAGAAATATTCAAATGCGAAATATAGGTTACACATTTTTTTTAAACGACCATGACCCTAATCTGTATGAATCCTATGCCTCTAATAACCAAATATGTTGATCGCATCATTGATCTGAGGGGGCAACAGAGAAAAAGCTTGTTTATTCTTTAATATACTATATATATGATGGCGGAAAATAATATTCCGTAAACTTCAAATTAATATTAAAGTAAAAGTTAAGCATGAGCAACATATAACATAAGAGTATGTAGGAATTCTGGTGCAATTGGAGAACAATCTTTCCCAATTTGGACATTTTAGTTTATTCGTAGCTTCATCTGCACTCCTGATGCCAAACCCTTTGGGGGCAAATCCAGCTAATAAATACAAAAGAGTTCAATGAATACCTTCACACACCTTTAAGAAAAGTTCAAAATAATGTTTGACACCGTGATGACAAAAGAAAATCTCTTTCACAAAACATTTCATGAGGAAACGCAAAATCCGTGTGTTTTCAGTTTCTTGATGTCATAAGATGGCTTTGGTTTAGCCAAGTACATTCTAGCTAGAAGTGGTGGGCTGCCAAAACAAAAATTAAGTTATGGAAGTTGGGATTGTTAATAGGATGGTTTTTTTTTATTTTCTAGTTTCACTTTTAATTACTAAAGTGTGACCACTATGGTGACATTTTAAATTAAAATATATAAAAAATACTTCTTTTTAAAAATAAAAATAAAATCCTTAAGATGTTGAACAAGTTATTTGAACACATGAAGCAGGATTCATAATTTCTAATTTTCTTCAGTCAAGAGGTCTCACTTAAGTAATTTTTTTCTTTATCAATTACCCTTAGTCAAAAAGGTTTCACTTAACTAAATCTCTCTATCTCAGCCAAAAGGTTTCCCTCAACTAAACCTCAACAACGTTAAGTGGATTAGCCAAAAAAAAAAAAATTCATATGTTCTGTTTTAATTATTAGAATTTTGAGGTGTCATGGGATATCTTATTAAATTAAAATTAGTCGGTTAAAATTGAAATGTATAAATAATTTGAAAGAAAAAAAAAGGCTTTAAAACAAAATAAATAAATTTTCAACCAAAATGAATACGTATTGCATTTGAAAAGAACAATGTTATTATGTTAATGACAATAAACTTTGACTAGAGTTAAGACACGATTGGTCTTATATTTATTGTCTACAAAAAATAATTGAAATGAAATGTTTACCCTTTATACGTTTAGACATTCTTAATACCAAAAAAAAACAAAGACATTCGTAGTTTATTTATACTTATTAATTCATAATTTACGCAAAATAAAAATATCTGTATAATATCTAAAATATTTTATCAAAATATTATCATAATAGTCCTTAACTGGTCAAAAATCATAATAGTCCTTTTAATCCTCAATAAAAAAGATATTAAATGAAAATATAAGTATATTCTTATATTTTAAAAATAATTTTTTTATTTATTTAATAATTGAAATCCCCGGAATTATCATGGCGCTATTGGTTGTTAAAACTTAAAAAAGAAACAGATAATTGGTATTTATTATGGCGTAGATGCATACGTCAAGCGGATGAATTAACAAATACAAGAAAAATGCAAAAGAAAGTGGCCCATGCAGGTCTCGAACCTGCGACCTTGGCGTTATTAGCACCACGCTCTAACCAACTGAGCTAATAGGCCTATGTGTTATCCTAGTCCAATAGAGTTTAAATAAATTTATATTATTTAAATAAATAACAAAATGGATTGTATTACTTTTTGAGTTAATCACCTATACACTGTGAATGTAAAGTTTTTTTACACTTGCAACCAATCATGTACCTTAATAGTGTCATGTCACTATCTTTTAATAGTGACATGACACTATTAAGGTACATGATTGATTATTAGTATAAAAATGTAAAAAAGCCTTGTACTAATAGAATTTAGGTGATTAACTCTTAGTTTTTATCTTGTATTATATGTTGTAGATGGTATACAGATAAGAGGGTTTTGGGCACCAGTCAATGCGCGACTACACACCCCAGACAAATGAGAAAACTATATTGCCTGCTCTCTCTTATCATTTTACCTGTTATGGTATTGATTCAAACAAAGGATTGAAAAAAAAATGTATTGGTAGATAACCACATCCACATCGGTCAGAATTACCGATGCAGCTATGATTTGGATTTTGTAGGGAAAACTTAATGCTATGAGCTGAAA